CCTTTGCTTTCTTCTTAGCCACCCCAAGCATAATACCATATTTCACAACTTAAAATATGGAATTGTATCTTAAAGGATGGAACATTGTATCCAATTTTATTTTTTAAAAAAATAATTATAAAGTCAATTGAAAATGACTTTATAAACACCACAAAAACACCAAAGTCTTAGGTTTGGGCTTTGTCTACCTCTGTGTAGGGGCTAGGAATGCTTTGGCTGACACACTCTGAAGCAGACTGACTTACATAACATCTCCCAGTCTTATGCAACAAGGTAGCACTGCAGATACTTCTCCAGAGCGTCTCAAAGAAAAAAAAGAGACACAAACTAGATAAATAGAATTATGAAAAAGCAAATTCCAAAATCATCCATACTATCTCCCTGTAATGTATTCAGCATCAGAAAATAAAATTTTTCATACAGCATCTACCTGCTGCTGGGAATCCTAACTGATCCCTCTATATATATATATCTTATATTTATATCTCAATTAATTAAGCACTGTAAAACCTATAGGGAATAAGGTATGATACATTGATGGCTGGTGCTTTTAACACATTTATTGGAGATTTGTAGCATGAATGTTAAATGAATGTTTAAGTGATCCTCCCTTTACCTTTCCATTTCAAATTATTTCCAACATTTTTTTTAAAAAAACAACAACAAATTATACAGACACATTTCTTTTCTTGATGTTTGGCAAAATAAACAAACCCTGCTCATTCACTTGCTGCTAATAAGTGTGTATGAGGCTGAAAACCCAAAATAGATTTAGGAGCTGTTTTGACTGGTAAAAATGTTAACAGAATATTCCACTGGGGAAATATAACTTGACAGTGACAGCAATGCAGTGATTAAGATATTGGATTAGGACAAGGAAGACTAGGTTTAAGTCTAGTTTAAGGTATGGATGGTCCCTTGTCGGTGTCATACACTTTCCTAACAGGGCTGTTCTTAAAAAAGGAGCACTATGTATGCCTCTTAAATGTAAAGCAGGATATAAATCAAAGCAGCAAGCTGGCTGTCTTATTTATAGGAACCAATGGAGGCCTCAGAGTGAAGCAATGGGATTGTGGAATTCACCTTTCTCTTCAAGCAGTTACCTCACACCTCCTTCCACAAGCAATAGTTCTAACCTAAACTTTATTAAAAATGTATGTCTCTAAGAGCAACCTAATAAAACATTAAGGGCCATTGGTTGGATTTATAAAACTCAGGACTAACTTGGCTAGTCTGTGACTCCAGTTGCTGTGTGGATCCAGCCAAGCGTGGTTATCTAAACTGGAGCAATTCAGGAAACCATGGTTTAGCTAGCTACAACAGGTAAGCATGTTGTGAAATCACTTTAATTTGCGGATTCAGATTCAAATCTTCACCCAACCAGCTCAACTCAGTGGCTTTTGGTCAGTTTCAAGTTGTCACTGTAAAGATAAGAATAATAATAAAGAAATAGAAGTGTAAACTGCTTCAATGCTTTTAAGGAATACTGTAGAAGAACGCTTGTATGCTTTAAGCAACTAAATCCTCTCCATTGCCAATCAACAGGCAGGAAGAAGATGGTAGAGTTGACATCTACGTCAGGAAATTCCAGACTTCCCAAATTCTGCTTCTCAAGAGCAGCCCCAGAATTGCAACAGAAAGAAAAAGCACCAATTCGTCTCAAGTTTATCTAAAAAGATCTCCTGCACCACAACAGAAGAAAAACCTGTGCCCTAACTGGCCAGATGTCAGAGGCCATGAATTCGCATCATTTCCAAAAAGGAGATGAATCTACCGCGTCTGAAAAGCAGGCGTTGGATGAAAGGCTGCCGTTTTCCCCCTCACTCTCTCTCTCTTCCTAATACATGTGTGGTTTTATCTTCTCTTTCCCCAGTTTTTCTCTCTTCCACCTCCCGCCATTTTCCTTTCATCTCCTGGCTTTGTTTCCAAGGCCTAAATAAATGATTCCCATTCGCGTCCCAAGTCTCGCCAGCCGCGTCTTCTCTTACAGCAGCCCTCCAAGACGTATTCCTTCGATACCCCCCCCCCGCGACCCCCGCAAAGAAAGGCGAGGAAACCGAGCAACAGAAAAACCCAGTTCCTAGGACTTGGATCGACTGCTCCTTCGGCTCCCAACCGGTCCCTCTTGGAGTCACCTCCCCGCCTGGGGTCAGCCCATCTCCCTCCCTCCCTCCCTCCCTCCCCTTTAGGGTCCATCTGTTGGGCTTTTCAGCAACCTTCTCCTCTAGCGCCTGGCTCCACGCGAGCCCCTCCCTCGCTCGCTCCCTCCCTCCCTCCCTTGGGAATCTTCCCCGGCCGTCACCTAGGAAACTAGCCGATACCGTGTAAATAGGCACCCTGAAAAAGCAATGCAGCCGGTAACAAAGAAGCAATAAAGGAGCCGAGCTTTTCAAAATGAGACTGAGAGAAAGAAAAGGAAGGGAGGGAGAAGGAGGAGGAGGAGGAGGAGGAGGGGAAGAAAAAAAAAAACACAACCCAGACTAGCTCAGTTTGTCCTCTCCACCCCTTTTGATGCAGATGCTGGAAGAGAAGCCTCTCGCCGCCTTCATCTAGACAGAATTCGCAGCCATTTGAACCAAGGGAGACCAGATAATGCAGATGGAACGTAACCGCGGGGGTTTTTTTTTTTGCCCCCCCAGTGAAGAAAATCAACAGGCTCCAAAGTGCATTTTACAAGCGCCTGGATGTTAATGGATTTATCCAGATTACGTTTCGGTTCGGGAGTGCCACATGTTCACAAAAGGGGTCGGTTTTCTTCCACTAGGCTCTGCCGACTGCCTGCCTGCCCGCCCGGGTTCCCTAAAGGACGATAAGCCATGCTTGTTGGCACTATGCATGTCTGCAACAAAAAAAGAAAAAGAAAAAGCAGCTTTAGGGAAATATAGAGGGTGAATAATTCATCGAATTGAAACAGTGGTGTTCCCTCCCCTTTCCAAAAGAGAAAAAAAATGAAGATGAGAATACAAGAGACGCGTTTTGCACGAATGGCTTTCCATCCGGAGATCCATATTCCCGGAGTAGAGAAAAACTGGAGAAAGGAATTGTATTTGAAAGAATACCGCGGGGGAGAAATGGCAATGAGGAAGGAAGGAGGAGTTTGATGTAAAAAAATAAAATAAAAATGCCTTGTGGTGTATTTTGCCCGCAAGAAATGAAATATTCCTTGACTGAGTGCCATCTTGCTAAAAATACTAGAATGTTGGCAGCACCGGGGAGGGGGGCTTGGGGTCTGTGCAACGGCAAACGCGTAAGTCTGCACTCATCACACAATGAAACGGGGGGGGGAGGAGATGAGAGAAAAAAATACATGCCATTAATCTTGAGTTCTTCACCTTCTCCCCCCCCCCACCCCACCCCACCAGCCCACCGGCTTCTTTAACGTTTCCGGGGGAATATATCTAATTCGCTCGACCCCCTTGGTATGTGCTTTGCAAGCAACGAGGCGAGAGAATTCCCCCCCCCCAACGACATTTCCTATGGCTCCACTGTAGTGATTTAAACCCAAGGGATAGAAGAAGCAACTCAGCAAGGATTAAGCAGTTAAGCGCATCTGCTCGCACTGGCAAAGGGTTGTGGGGAAATGAGAAACTCTTGATAGGATCCGGCTGCTTCTTGCTTAAGATGAGCCGCCCCTTTCTTTCGAAATCCAGAATCTTGGAATGGTCCTACAATACAAACACATCATGGCTCCGACAAGCAACATATAAAACGATTTAGATTTGAGCTCCATTGACTTTGGAAGCCTTTTCAGTTACACGTGGATGCTATTTAGGCACACAACGGAGAAACCGACATTCCTACGGTACTAACTTCCTCATCTTAAAAAAAAAAAGAAAGAAAAAAGAAAGGTTTCGCATTCTCGGCAGTTTCCAAAAAGATTGAAATCAGAACTAATCAGACAGCGAAATGTAATTAGAGCCGTAGGCTCCTCACATTTTTTTCCCCCACTACTCCGTATTGTTGGGGGAAGGGATTAAGCCTTCTACCGCCAAGGTAACAGCGGCAGCTGCTTTAAGCATTTTTCACATCTGGCCTACAGACCTCATAATTTTCAACTCGTGATCTCCCTTAGCGAAACGCGATCTACGTGGTTTAAATACCTTCCAAATTGGGAGAATTGAACAATTGCAACCAATTAAAGGGGGGAAAGGACCAACCCTCCCTATCTGTTGATATTTTTTTTTTCTGGAGAAGCTGGAGTGGGCAGGAGGGGGGGGGAGTAGAGGGGGTGGCAGCGGGGGCGAGAAAATGAAATCACAAACGCACACAAGTCAAACCATTGTCTCTAACTTAACAGGGGTGGGGAGGGGGAGAGACTCAAGACACCAAACAGAGGCTACCAGCCCTGCAAGTCAAAATCCTCCCTCCCCCTCCCCTTTATTTTTTTATTTTTTTTACGGAGCGTTTGGCAGGGGGCAGTAAACACCGTGTATCCTTCGATTTTTCTTTTTAGCAAGAAATCAGAGCACAAGTCTTAATGCCACTAATTTATTTATGTTCTTCGGAGTATTAATTATCAGTCCAAGGCCGAATTCAAATTATTGCAATCGCAGCTCCATTGTTCGCTCCAATTGGAGGCCCCGCCCTCTCTTTTGTCTGGCGGTGCGTTGATTGGTGGACGGCGGGTGGGGGCTGCCGTCAGTGCCTGGGAAGCCCATTCATCTGTGCACTTGGGCGTTGGACTCCGCATCTTATTAGCGACCAGGGAGATTTCTCCATTTTCCCCTTGTCTACAGTACGGCTACAAATCTGGGATTTTTTTTTTATTACTTCTTTTTTTTTTTTGTACTAAACTTGGGCTTCTGAGATTTTTGCTCGACTATTTTCCTGCATTTTTATCCCCCCTTTCTTCCTCTGCTGCTGCCTTTTTTTGACCTCTCCAGCTTTATTAAAAAAAAAGGAGTGCATATATTTAAACATATTCGGCTCTCTTCTCTTTTTCCCCCCTCCTCTTCCCCCACTGGTGTGTGTGTGGTGCGCGCGCGCGCGAGTGTGTGTGTGTGTGTGTGTATCGCTGCTCTTCAGGCTGCTGGTCGCCCAGCATTTATACGAACGAACCTACTGTTCTTTGTTTGCCTTCTTTTGGATCTGCCGAGTTTCTTTGTTGAATAAACCAGCATGGGTGCCCAGTTCTCTAAGAACGCTGCAAAAGGCGAAACTACTGCTGCTGAAAAACCCGGAGAAGCGGTAGCTGCATCTCCTTCCAAGGCGAATGGACAGGTAAGAAAAGGAGCGGCTGATATACATTGTTACTGGTTTCTGGGCTGAGTGCAATGTTTATTCTGCTTCCCCCTGTCTCTTCCAGGGAGGGGGGTACGTGGATGGCTTTTAAATTGATCACAACTCCCTCTTTAAAGCAAATAGCGGCTGTTTATGGGCACCGTGTTTATGTGGGATTTTATTTGGAACCAGTGTACGTGTAATGCAGTGGTAAAGGGGGACAATGCGAGATGCTTGCCTGCTGTATGGTGTCCTTTTCTTCCTAGCTCGTCTCCGCAGGAAGGCTTTACCACCACCTTCTTTTTTTGGGGGGGGGGGGGGGGGGGGCTTATATGTGCTTTGGTGGTTTGATTGCATGTGCTCTCCCGCGGTTTCCTGTACTTTAACAGGCTGTTACCCCCCATCCCCGCCTTTGGCGCCTAAGGGAGATCTTGTCGATCGTGTTAGGACTGCCGGAGATACCTGAAAGCAAGATCGAGGTTAGGGGCGCTGGAGAGTTGTCCGCGTTATAAGAGGAAGGGGCTGCCGTGCGTAAATTGTCCTTCTCCATCTTGCTGGCTGGCTTATCTCATAGCTTAAGCCGTGGGTAGTAGCCTCTCCTACTATTCCTTTCGCTGTAGCCAGTTTAACGCAGCTGCTCTTCTAAAATCCGGCGACTTTTAGGAGGAGAGTGCGGGGAGGCGTTGCGGTGTGTGTGAAATGTAAACTGGCGCCCTTCCTGGGCGGCTGGCCCGCGTGGGTCCCTCGCCGCGTCTCGGAAACCTGGGAAGGTGTTGCAATCCCCCCCCCGTATCCAGGCGCTTTGTGTTGTCCTTCCAGTGTGTCTAAAGGGGTATTGGACTTCTCCCACCCGTGCTGTCGGCCAGGGCCAGCTTGGCTGCGATATGCCCACCCTGGAGTCGCTCCAGAAAGAACCTTTTGAGGCGCGATTCAGCCCAAGAGCCAGACCGAGCAACAGATGTGATTGTGAGTGGTGGGCAGCGCGTCTGGCCTTGATGAAACCGAGGCGGAAAGGAGGGTTGCCCGTTTTCTGCTTTGGAACTGAGGAAGGTGATAGGAGAAAAGAAAGCGGGCTTGGGGGAAGAAGCGACGGGTAGGTCTAGCTTTGTTCGCTCATTGGAGCCGGTTCTGGCCGAGGCGCCAGCTCGCTCCTCCTCCGGCGTTGTTCCAGGGCTGTCCCACCGTCGGCCTAGAGGAGTACAAGGTGGAGCCACAGTGCCCTCTAGAGGCCGACGCCCGCTTGGTAGCGGCTTCGCGCCGTCGCGGAAGGGGAAGCGCGGACGAGGGCCGGGCGACGTGTCTGGAGAATGATGACGCGGGCTTCTTGCCGCGTAGCCCCCTTAAGAGAGAGGAGCGGGAGGAAAGGCGTGGGGGGCGTGGCTTGGCTGGCTTCTAAGGTGGCGTGTTCTCCCCTTTCCTCGCAGCCTCTGGCGACACGTCACGCCGCTCTCCTCCAAGAAAGCAAGCGGGAAGGTCCGTGGCAACGTGCTGCCACAGACGACGAATTTGGCTTGCTCTTGCTCTGCCTCTCTTGCTTAACAGCTTGTAATCCTTGGCTATTTGTTTCATTTTGTTTGATTGCTTGGGTGCCTTCGAGTGGATTTTGACTCCTGGTGACGGCATGGACAAGTCCCTGCATTTTTCTTGGTGGTTTTTTTTTGGGGGGGTGGGGGGAGTGGTTTACCATTGGCTTCTTCCTTGGGCAGAGAGAGAGAGAGCGACTGGCCCAAAGTCACCCAACTGGCTTTCTTCCCAAGGCAGGACTAGAACTCGCGGTCTCTGGTTTTTTTTAGCCTGGTGCCTTAACCACTAGAGCGAAGTGACAGGGCTCTAAGACTTGAGTTGCTCCCACTTTTGCTTTGGAGAAGTGGCCGGCAGTGTTGGTGCCTTCTGGATTGGAGTTTGCCTCCCAGAATTCCCCAGTGGGGAGAGCTTCTGGGACAGGGGTAGTCAACTTTGGCTCTTTTATGACTCGTGGACTTCAATTCCCAGAATTCCTGAGCCAGCTTAGCTGGCTCAGGAATTCTGGGAGTTGAAGTCCACGAGTCATAAAAGAGCCAAGGTTGAACTACCCCTGTTCTGGGAGATGAAGTCCAGTTGGAGAGGCTGTCTTGTGCTGGGTCTTAAGAGAGCGTGCCCCTCCAATAATGCAGTCATTTTTCCTCTTCCAGGAGAACGGCCATGTGAAGGTGAACGGCGATGCCTCCCCGGCAGCTGCAGAGGCTGTCAAGGAGGAAGTCCAAGCAAACGGCAGTGCGCCAGCGGAGGAGTCGGTCAAGGAAGAGCAGAGCCCATCCGAGGCTGCCTCCGAAAAGGAGACCGCCGAAGCGGAGAGCACAGAGCCCGCCTCGCCTGTCGAAGGGGAGTCCTCCTCCAAGACCGAGGAGGGAACAACCCCATCTTCCAGTAATGAGACCCCGAAAAAAAAAAAGAAGCGCTTTTCCTTCAAAAAGTCTTTTAAGCTAAGTGGCTTTTCTTTTAAAAAGAACAAAAAGGAGTCTGGGGAAGGAGCAGAGAACGAAGGTGCGGCTGCTTCGGAAGGCGGGAAAGCTGACGCCGCAGCGGCAGCTGACGCGGAGCCTGTGGGCAGCGAGGAGGCCAAGGCTTCCCAGGAGGCGTCGCCTTCAGCCCCGGCCGCTGGTGGCAGCACGGAGGACGCCAAAGAGGAGGCTGGGGGCTCCCAGGAAGCCCAGTTGGAAGAGACTGCCCCAGAGAAGCCTGCAGGAGAAGAAGCCAAGGCTGCTGAAGAGCAGAAGCCGGAGGAGAAACCGGAAGAGGCGCCAGCGGCTCAGGTCCCAAGTGCTACCACCGAAGCCACCTCAACTGAGCCAGAGGCAGCCAAAGCAGAGGAGCCGGTGGCAGCGGCGGCGGCAGCGGCAGCTCCTTCACAGGAAGCTGCCTCTGAGTCTAGTCCAGAAGCTCCACCCACCGAATCGGCAGAGTAAAACAAGGCAATGAAAAGAATGGCAATTTTGAGATGATTGAACTTTTCTTCCCCCCTGTTTGTTTGTTTGGAGTGGTGCCAGGTACTGGTTTTGGAGAACTTGTCTACAACCAGGGATTGATTTAAAAGATGTCTCTCTCTCTCTCTGTCTCTCTCTCTCTCTCTCTCTCTCTCTCTTTTTTTTTTTTTTTTTTTTGTTCTACCCACAGATCCCATCTAAATCATTCTGTTACCACCATTCCAACTCTGGTAGAGGAGAGACTAAAATTGCCTCCCTTTTGCCTTGCTCCTCTTTTTTTACATCAGTATTAATGTTTATTGCATACTTCGCATCTTTATTCAAAATGTAAACTTTATTTTTCTTTTGTCAGTCTATGGACATGCCCATATATGAAGGAGATGGAGGAGTCAATAAGGGATAGCAAATGAAGTGATAGGGGTCACAATGGGGAATTAGTGGTGCAGATAATTTGCCAAGAAAATGTGCCACAGGAAATAAGGGGTTTAGTCTTTTTTTAAAAAAAGAAAGTTATTACAATGTATTTTGTGAGGCAGATGTTCTATAAGGTTTACAACACTACAAGTCTTGATTAAGAAAGAAAAAAAATCCAATACTCAGATTTAAAAAAAAAAATCATAGTCTTAGGAAATTCATTTAAACCATAGGAACTTTCACTTATCTCATGTTAGCTGTACCAGTCAGTGATTAAGTAGAAATACAAGTTGTATAGGCTTTATTGTTTATTGCTGGTTTATGACCTTAATAAAGTGTAATTATGTATTACCAGCAGGGTGTTTTTAACTGTGACTATTGTATAAAACAAATCTTGATATCCAGAAGCACATTAAGTTTGCAACTTTTTGCCACCCTGCCCATTTTTTTTTTGTAAAATTGCAGTAATCTTGGACCTTTGAAAAAAACAAAACAAAAACCACACACTATTTTAAACTCAACCAAGCTGTGATAAGTGGAATGGTTACTGTTTATACTGTGGTATGTTTTTGATGACAGCAGACAATGCTTTCTTTTTCCAGTTGTCTTTGAAAATAAAAAGAAAAATTTTTCAGATGCAATGGTTTTTGTGTAGCATCATGTCTATCATGTTTTTTGTAAATACTGGAGAAGCTTTGACCAATTTGACTTAGAGATGGAATGTAACTTTGCTTACAAAATTGCTATTAAATTCCTGCTTAAGGTGTTCTAATTTTCTGTGAGCACACTAAAAGCGAAAAAATAAATGTGAATAAAATGTAGAATTTGGCTGTGTTTCTTTTTCTGGATACTCTTGATAGCTTAGTTGATTACTTGTATTGTTTAAATTTGTATAAAAAAGGCACTTGTTTGCCCCTTAACATTACTCTCAATTTCTGTAGTATAGATTGCATGGCCTCCTGGCCCTATTAAAACGTATATCTGGAGACAGAAGATCTTTAAGGCCTTCTAAATAGAGGTGTGGATTGGATTTTAAACTAGCCATGCCATTGTGGACACCCGATTGGCTAATACTGAGTTCTGGGGAGAAACTAGATTAAGAGACCAAACGTGTTTACAACATGTTTGCACCAGTTGACTTCAGCTAGAATGGGTATGTATGTAATCAAATCCTCAAGGATCGCCTTATAGTATACATGAGTTATTTCTTAGCTTGAGTTGACTTGACACTTTAGCTGTGGTTGTTTGGAATGTCTTGGGGCTGAACCTGAGTTTTCCAACAGGGACACCAGAATTCAGGTGTCAAGACAGCAAAAGGTCCAATCTTACATGCAAGTTCTTAACCATTTTCAACATTACTTCAGTGCCTAACTTTAACACAACCTGTCTGGAAGTTTGGGCTAGAGTAAAAAAAAAAAAGTGTTTGTTCTACCAAATGAATGAGCAATACTTTTTGTATATTACTCCCAACTATACATTAACAAAAATTGCTATATTTGTCTATAAAAGTCACTTGGTGCTTGCCTTTAACTGTTTAGATATTTGGGCTAATTTCCACCTTGCTGCTCAGGGCAAAACAAGGCCTTAATAAAACAGTAGTAGGCTTTTGTAAAAACAAATAATGGAGTATTAATGTTGTTGGAGGATGGAAATTGATTCAAAGAAGCATTGTTCCTAGGTTTATAGATGAAATTTAGTGTTAACATTTAACTTGCTTCCCTCTGTTTTTCAACTGTAACTTGCTTTAGAGGCAATTACACTTATTTTATGAGTGAGTGGCACGTTAGCACCTTGTTCCCTGAAAAACAAAATCTGGGCTGAATGAGGTTCAATGGATTCCATTCCGAATACATACTCTTACTCAGCTATTCATTTTTATTTTTATTTTGGCTTGTATATATACTCTGGTCACCCTGGTATTTCTCTGTAGTGTTAGAAATGTATTGACTATTATGCTTTAAATGGCCATGGGATGAAATAAATGGATGTAAAATCTTCCATACCAGTGTCATTTTTGGACTCCATCTGTGAGACACTTTCTAATCATAATTCTTGATAAGTGTTGATGTGGTTGTACACCTGATCTGTGACTCTTGGCCCATCATGTGTTTTTAAGTCATTAAAAAAAATAATAAAACTAGCTGTCATTTACACCTGCATACAGAGTGATTTAAATTGAATTATTTTTTTTATCCCTCCACCCAAGTTGTTTCAGCTGGGCCAAAGTAGGACACTGTAGATTGTGGGGTTGTGTGTGTCCTGAGGGATATTCCAAGGAGTCATCATTTGCTGCAACTGTGTAGAGGAACATCTAGGATTGGATTTGTCTATGTAGAATATAGCTCTTAGAGCTGAATGCAAGCTGCAATGTTTCTTTTTCTTAAAGATGCTTGTTGCTGTTGGGCCAAATTCTTATAATATACCCACCCCAAATTATACTAATTTGCTTTGCACTTTTTTCTTGCAAGGGTATAGATCAGAGGTGTCAAACTCGCAATGTCACGTGACATATCGCGACTTTTTTTGCCATTGCTGGCAATGGGATGGGTGCAGTTTCGCCATGACTGCATCCAGTTTGACACCCCTGATATAGATTAAGAGCATGCATAATACAGAAAGTAATTTATGCAAAGCCATGTAATGAATGCACTGCTTTATTTCCATCAGTACATCAAGCTCTCCAGTAGAAAGCAAAGTGTAAATCTAATAGAGTGGAGCTTTTAATTACACAATGAACGCAGAAGTTGGATAATTTGTCTTGGTATTGGAAACTGATTTTAATTTTGCCAGCTGCCTAGTAAGTCACCTAATGTTTTGGACTTGACCAATATGGCCAGTAGTGAAAGATTGGGAGGAAAGTAAGAATGCTAAGAAATACCATGTTGCCTCCAATTATTCAGGAAAGATTTGCTGCAAAGTCTACTAATCTTAACTCCATTTTAAAATATAAGGCTGCTACTTACTAGTACAACCATCCTCTTTTCATGATTTTCTGTAAGAAAAGTTTTAACACACTAAAATGAAAATCTCTGCAGCTTCTTAAAAATGAAGCACCAGTTAATATTTTTGGATAGAGCAGACCAATAGCAGATTCCTATGCTGTACACATGGCACATACTGTATGTGTATGCTTAAATGTGTTTGCAGATGAAAAATATACAGAATGTTTTAACAAAATAGAACTTTTGAGCACCATAACTTGAAACTATTTTCCTAATTTACTTGGAATAAAAATGTCAACATTAAGTATCAATAATACTTAAATATTAGTGAAATTTTAAGATCAGCTCTTAGCAACAATATAATCAAGGGCTGTATAAACACTCAAGATGGGAAATCCAGTTTGTGAAGATAGAAATAATGAGAAAAGTATTAGAAATCTCATAATCGTGAGCTAGATAGACTTTATCTATCTCTGAAAAGAAAACCATAAAGAGCTGGCTGTTTCCCCTGGCACTGAGCAAGATGGACGCATATTTTGTGAGAGGCATCCAAGAAAGTTAACTGAAGTGCTGGGGTTTTATTTTTATGTTGTTGTTTTTTCATTATGAGCTGTCCAGGCTTGTGTTCTAAGATGAGAAGCCATGCAAAACTTTTAAGTATAAATAGCCATCAAAAGCAATGATGATATATTGTAAATCAGTGGTCCCCAATTTTTTTTCATCATTACCCATAACCACAAACCACCTTTTTACCCAATGTGGTTAAAACATTTCAGGTAGATTAAAAGGTCCCTGTTGTGGTTGAGTAATGGGTTTGTGTGGCATCACTCAAAAGAAAAAAGCCCTTTTATCCAATTTTGGATAATTTACCCAGGTTTGGGAAGCAATGATTTAAGTTTATGCCACCTGGCTCCCAACAACTCTGGGTAGTTGATAATTAGAATATACAGTGACTAAGGCTGTCTGTGCCAACCATAAGTGATTATGAGAATTTCCGTGTATCGCTAAAAATTTAAAAAGATCTGATACTACATGCAGTATTTGGTAAATGGGATTTTGAAAGGATTTCCAAGACTTTAAGCTATTAGAAACACTGACATACACTTGTTCATTTTAGAAAATGCCCAGAATATATTAAAGGTTTCAATAGGTTGGTTCAAAATTGAAATATGATGAGTAAAGCATTTTGATAGTTTTTTAGTAACTTTTTTTTCTGATACATTGCAAATGATTGTTTTTGTATAACTTTTTCTGGAAAGAATATGTAGAGAAACTGCTGTATAACTCTAGTGATAGTTACTTTTGGATGACAAAATAACAATACTTGTATATAATTACAAAGGATAATGTAGAAATAAATTGTTAGTAATCAATGTAACTGAAATAATACAAGTAGTAAATATGAATTTGTTATCCACATGCCTCAGAATCCTTTAAGAGGTTTGTGTTTTAATATGGATATGTATTGACTCCATTTTAAGAATTATCTTGCTGCATATGCAGTTTGAACTGCATTTTTTTTTAAAAAACTATCTCTTAATCTAAAGAAATTTTCCAAGTCCTTGTTTGCTTGAAGAGAAAATGAATTAAAGCTAAAAGAAGAGGATTCAATAGAAATGGATTTTTAAAATGTCCTACCAGCACAAAAGACACCTGTATAAATCTTAATGTTGATACACACTTTCAGAAATCCTTGGAATTATATGGGCTACTGTTTTTGTTGGACCAAAGCCAGGGGTCTGCTTTTCTTCCATCCAGACCTTTGCTGAACTATTTTTATTTGTTCTTACT